TGCCATCAGTGCAAATCACAAATCCCGAAAATCTTGGGATTATTTTCCAAGAATACCGAGATTATCGGCACTTTAAAAAGGCCAGGATCCCGGGATCCCGGGATTAACATTCCTAGTATGTACATAACCAAATTAAACAAGTAAGAAAGTCTAAGTTCGGGCGGAGCCGAACATTAAGTACCCGGCGCAAGTATTAAATATATGATTTCACCTTTCCGAAAGCTACCGCTACATGGTAAGCAGGGGCGTATCAATTTTTAGTAAATTAGCGTCCTTAAATTTCGAAATATTAAAGTTTCAAGCTTTTCTGAAATTTACCGGTATATGAAAAGCGGCCTCAATTTTAGTCCGATTTCAATAATTTTCAATGTTTTGCTTTTATGTGGCAACCACAATAACCATACCGAGTTTGGTACAAATTGGTAGAACGGTTACCGAGATACATACATATATCTGAACATAAGTTTGAGACAGTGACTCTTGTTTTACCAATATTCATGTGCCTATCGGTGAAAAATATGTAATTGCTGATACGAAATCTACATCTAATTTAAAACTTCAATACTACTCAACCGAAGATAGACTGTGTGATATGTAAAGTGTTTTTCCACATGAAATATGTTGGTATCGTACAAGCAGATGTTGATTATCTGTTGTGTAAAGATTGTCCGGATAAGCGTCGTGCTTCTATCCGCTCGCCACCTATATCAGCTTCGCCGTTTGAGACAAAAAATAAAGACATTGAAGAAATTAACATGCCCAAAGACAATAATACTGAGCAACAATCCACATTGCTTATTGTGTCCAATGAAATCGCTGCTCTAAGAGCGGACAATACTCGCATACTCTCTGCTGTGAATGCGTTGCTTGCTGATCGTGAAAATCTAATGAAAAAAACGTTTGAACTCCATCAGGAGATTTGTTCGTTAAAATTTATACTCAGCGACTCTGTGCTTTCTAAGCTGACATGCGAAGTAAAAGCTCTGCACGGTATCGTCTTTACTAGTGTCAATAATCTAAATGCAGCCCCTAGTGGTAATGTCAAAATCACTAAAAACAATAAACTTTCGAGTACTGCTAGTCAGGCTCATTCGCTTGCTTCCTCTTCATCATCGTCTCAATCTGTGTCTGATTCTCGTGTTATTGCTGAGAACATTGCGTCTAGTGCTGATGACACGAACATATTGAATGAGATAACGCGGAATGAGAAAACGCAGAAAGAGAAAACTCCTATATCGTCTAACATTGCACGGCTGCGGCCGCCACCACTACCACTGCTCCCGTCTCCTATGCCAGTGCTGCTGCATTGCCGTCGGCCTCTTCTGACCTGATCAGACAGCGAAATCATCTGTGTACCAGTTGCCCATGCGGAATATCACTGCGAAACGCAGTAGTAGAAAACTTAATCAACCAATTGTCGTTGGGTCGAATAATAGCCAAGAACTACATGTTGTTCCTGGTTTGAAGTGGTTGCATTTATCATCTTTTTCAAATAACGGAACTGTCGCCGATATTATAGCTTATGTTTCAAAGCACGCCGAGCTTGATACGAAGTTGCTGACCTGCCATATGCTTGTGAAAATGGACACTGACGTATGCAAACTTTGAAAAATTAATTTTAAACTTGGGGTGTCGGAATGCTGCTATGAAAAAGTGTNTGTTGTTCCTGGTTTGAAGTGGTTGCATTTATCATCTTTTTCAAATAACGGAACTGTCGCCGATATTATAGCTTATGTTTCAAAGCACGCCGAGCTTGATACGAAGTTGCTGACCTGCCATATGCTTGTGAAAATGGACACTGACGTATGCAAACTTTGAAAAATTAATTTTAAACTTGGGGTGTCGGAATGCTGCTATGAAAAAGTGTTTAATGCGGACATTTGGCCAACGCATGTGAAGATTCGTCCTTTCCGTTTTTTTCCCCCAAAGACGGCGTACCACAGCAAGAAGCTTAGTTGAGCCTCCAGAAGTCATCCCAAAACGTCTGAAACTCTAGTTTCAAAATGTATCGGGTCTTAGAACCAAATCTAAACAACTTTTTGCCATGAGTTCCCATTTGGACTATGACATATTTGTCCTCGTTGAAACATGGTTGAATGAGAATTTTTATGACAATGAGTTTTTCGACTGCAATCTGTTCAACGTGTTTCGCAAAGACCGAGATGTTTCAAAAACTGGTCTCTCTAGAGGTGGAGGTGTATTAATAGCGGTTAATCGGAAATACCGCTCTTCGCTTGTGCCATTAAAGAATGAGGATACCGTCTTTGATCAAATTAGTATTGCTGTGGATGGTATTTCTAAACTAGTAATTTGCGTTTCTTACATACCGCCATCTAGTAATGATGCAATCTACAAAGCGCAGTTTGACAATGTTCTTGATTTAGCATCTAGTCATGAAAATCTATGTGTAATTGGTGACTTCAACCTAAGTAATATCGATTGGTCTGCTAGGGGCGATAGTCCAGGGTTACACCCGAAATCTCTTAATACTTTTGCTGAAACCTATCTGGTTGATAATTTTTTAAGTTGTGACCTCATGCAAATAAATAATTTCACTAACAAACTGCTTCGAACTTTAGATCTTATTTTTATTAATGACAATGTTAGTTTTGCCTTATTGGAATGCCTCGATCCATTGTCTACTCCTGGTCTACATCATGTTCAGCTGGTTCTTGATTTAGAGTTTTATGAGTTCAATACTATCAGTTTGGACAGTTTCTCTACGAGTTTTTGTTATAGAGACTGTGATTTTGAGGCAGTCCTTATTTACTGGGGTTGAAGTTGCCAAATGTTTTGATATCTTTAAATTTAAGATTAGTGAAATATGCAGAAACAATATACCGAGAGTCAAAAAACAATGTTATAAGATACCTTGGTACACTAAAGAACTGAAAAAGTTTTATAAAAGATTTAAATAATCAAACTCACGTCTAGATAGAGACAAATACTTACAATACTCGAAGGAGTTTAAATCATTAAGCAAGGAGCTAAAGCAAGGAGGATAAAATTCAATCCTAAAGCTTTCTGGAGGTATGTAAAGTCGAAGAAATCGTGTTCAAGCATTCCCTGAGTAGTATTTTACAATGATATCCAAGCTCACACTTCTCTTGAGGCTGCAAATCTTTTTGCAGATTTCTTTAACTCCAACTTCGAACTGGAAGCTGATGTAAGTGGAAATAATCTCCTGAACAACGATTCCCCAGTTAATTTTGGAACTCTCTCTTTAACCATTGAAGATGTTGAAGACGGTATTCGACAAATGAAATCGTCAACTCAAACTGATGTTGATGGGTTATCTTCATACCTTCTCAAGTGCTGCTACGCATTCGCATATCCTCTTTTACTAATTTTCAACAAATTTCTCGAGGTTGGTGAGTTTATTGATGCCTAATGTCACTCTTATCAACCCCATATTTAAAAGTGGGAATAAGAATAATATAGCTAACTACAGACCTATTTACAAATTATCCACGGTCTCAAAATTATTCGAATACATCGTAAAACAAAAATTATACTTCTCAATTAACCGCTTGATCTGTGTAAATCAGCACGGTTTCATGGCCGGTAGGTCTACTGTTTCTAACCTGGCAGTTTTTTCTGAATACTGTATATAGGCTTTTCACAATCATGTTCAAGTCGACACTGTGTATACGGACTTTTCAAGAGCATTCGACAAGGTTAGTCTCTCTATGTTACTTACAAAGTTACACAGCCTAGGAGTCCACTCAATATTTTTGAAGTGGATGAAATCATATCTATCTCGCCGAAATTGTGTTGTTGTCGTTGACGATGTATCTTCCCATCCCTTTATCGCGACTGGTGCTGGTGTTCCACAGGGGAGTATACTAGGGCCCCTTTTTTTTGTAATTTTTATAAACGACATTTCTAGTTGTTTTAAGTTCTCGGAGTTTCTTTTGTATGCTGATGATCTGAAGATTTACTCCACGGTAGCCTGTCCCTCAGACTCTTTGAACCTTCAAAGGGATCTGGATAACGTTATCCCTTGGTGTAATAAGAACATGCTAAATTTAAATATAAATAAGTGTCATCATGTCACCTTCTCTAAATCTCGTTCTCCTATCCCAACTTCCTACCACATTGGTGGTTCTCAGTTGGGTTTACCCTACTGAAATTATAGATCTAGGCGTGGTGTTTGACTATAGATTCTCATTTCAAAGCCAATTAAACTTCACGATAGCTAAAGCATACTCTATGTTGGCTTTTATTCGTCGCTTCAGCTCAGAATTTTCTGATCCGTATACCCTAAAGTCACTCTATACCTCCCTGGTGCGCTCCAAGTTAGACTATGCCGCCGTAATTTGGAGACCTTATTATGCTTGCCATATCAATAAGGTTGAACGAATCAAAAAAAAATTTGTTCGTTTTGCCCTTCATTCTCTGCATTTTGTCCACCCAATTCCCTCCTACCGTGGTATATGTCTACTTATTAATCTTAAGCCTTTAGATTGTAGGTGGTCTATTCTCTCCCTTACTTTTGTCTATAACTTAGTACGTATCCATTTCGCTGTGCCTGAGAGATGTTTGAGAAATCACGTAACTTTCTCCTTGGAGAAGGTAAGAACTCAATATGCTTCTAATGCTCCCATATTCAGGGCTCTAAAGGAATTCAACTTGCTCTCAAATTCTTCTGTTATAGACTTTTCTTACTCGGAAACTCGTTTTAAATCAATATTAAATGAATTAATTACTTAGTTTGTTTTTCTTATTTTTAAGTCGTTGTAATCTTTATGAAATGTAATAATTTCTGGATTATTCAGCCCTGTTCTGCATTTCGACTCAATTTGAAAAGTAAAACGATACACATTCCGACTAACTTTTGTGGTGGTGTTCTCAATTCCGAGTGAGATCGAACAAGTTCGAAATCGTTTTCGAATCGTTTTCATTTCGATTCGGTAATAAGTTGAAACAGCTGTTGTCAGTTATTTGTGTAAAATTAATTTCAATCTAAAAAAAATTTGATAAAATGCCAGCGCCAATGNAAAAAAAATTGATAAAATGCCAGCGCCAATGATTTTTGGGTGTGCCGAGGCAAGAAGACGCACGCTTAAAACAAAAAAATCGTCAGCTAAGAATGCATGTAGACATATTTCAAAAGTTCGACTCCAAGTAAGTTTACCCTTCAATGTAATTTTCTTTGTCTAACTTGATCTGTACATACTTTTTAGGTTTATAGAGTCTTATCGCGTAAATAAAGATGTTTTCAAAATGCTGTTAGATAAAATAGGAATCAGGTTAGCAGAAGGGCATTGTTTTATTACACCGACTACGCAACTGGCAGCCACACTCCGGTTTTAGCAACTGGCTCCTATCAGTTGGGGATTTCTAAAGATCAAGATGTCAACATAGGCAGAATCACCTTTTCCAAGGTATTGCACTTTGCTGTACAGGAGCTGGAGTGCTGCCTTTGTGAAGAAAACATTCAGCTGAGGATGTCGTCCGCGGAGATAAACGCATCAAAAGAGCATTTTTATAGGGAATTCAATTTTCCCGGTGTCATTGGGTGTGTGAATGGAACACACATAAAAGTGTCAAAACCAAGGGATGACGAGTCTCTGTTTTTTAATAGGAAGGGATACTTTAGCATAAATGCAATGGTGGTAAGCTGTTAAATAATAAACAAATTTCTTTGTAATAAAAACGCGTATATATTTATTATATTAACAGATTTGTAATTACAATATGGAAATAGTGGCAGTAGATGCGAGCCACCCAGGTTCATGTCATGATTCATTTATTTGGAATCAAAGTTATGCAAGGCAACAATCGCGCTAAAATACTTGGATTTTGGCAGATTCCGGCTACGCCTTGGAAACCTTCGTAATGACGCCATATAGGAACCCACAGCATGGATCAATAGAACATGCCTTTAATAAGAGACACGCTTCTGCTCGCAACATAATTGAGCGTACAATCGGTTTATTGAAAAGCCGATTCCGATGCTTGCAAGGAACTCTTCACTACGAACCAAAGTTTGTTGCCCAACTAGTCAACGTTTGCTGTGCGCTACACAACATTTGCCGCAGGCGTAACATACAGATGAATGAAGAGAATGGCCATGATCTGGAAATGACAAGTAGAAATGCTGAAGACGAGAGCGACAATGATTACCAGGCGGCTCTAGATGGAGGGGAAATGAGGGATGAAGTTGCCCGCAGTTTTCAAATCTAATTTTTAAAGTATTTAAATTCATAGTCACTCTCTGAAGTATTCGTAATTTAGTTTTTTCACGATATTCAAAATATTTTCTTCGTTAATTTTTATTTAAAATATAGCTCATTCTATAACAAAAACCATATAAACCAATCTTGCAAACCTTGTACAAAATTCCCAAAAATTTAACAAACTTAAAAAAAATGTATCAAAACAGCAACTTTTTATTCAAAATCTTTATAAAAATTTCGCGTATGCAGTTTTGTATTCCATTCAATTTTAGTATAACGAAGTGCAAGTTTCAAGTAGCTAAAAATTACATTTGATTTTTTAGATTCCATATAAAGATAGATTTTGTTCATGCGTTATATGGAAAAAAAAGTGCTACAGTCTCGACTTCGCTAAATTTTCATCAATTTTGTACAAACTTTAAAACTTGGATTCATATATATGGTGTTTGTGAAAACATTAGCCATATTTTAATAAAAAATAAAAAAAAATCAGATATGAGAAACAATGCGAGTATTTAAAAAAAAGTTATCGTATACTCAATTTTGTCAGAAGGGTATTTTCATATGCTGGTCGGTAAAATAATAACTGTTAATCGTATTGACAAGTTTTGATATTTTATTTAAAACATCGTTAAGCCTCTAACAAAAATCAAATTAATTCAGGTTTCAGTCTTTGGGCAGAATTAAAAAATTAAAAAAATTAAATACACACAAACTTGGACGTTTTTAATAGAAATTTCTAGAAATACATACGGTAGGCATTGAAGAAAGTATTTTAATACATTTTTTTTACCACATTGAAAATGTTTTCCATGGTTAATTATTTTGTTAATTCTTTTTTCAAAAAAGTTTCATTTTAGTTCATAGCTAATTTCTAGAAACACATTTTTTTATACGATATTGAAAATACTTTTCGTGGTAAATTTTTGTTTGTTAATTTTTATTCAAGAAATAGTTAATTTTATAACAAAAACCATGCAAATCTTATTTCCAAATTTTGTGCAAAATTTGAAAAATTCAACAAATTGTCCTCAGAATTTTAAATTTTACAAATCGACGTGGGCACAAAGTTTTGCGCTAAGTTTGAAATTTGGATTTGCATGGTTTTTGTTATCAAATTAGCTATTTTTTATAAAAAGTTAAAAAAAACAAAAATTTACCATGAAAAGCATTTTCAATGTCGTGTAAAAATCAAATAAAAATATTTTTTGAGTAACTGTATATGTATGTATTTGTACAGTGGTCCTCACGTAAAAAGCACACTTTTATTTCTTACAATATTCAGAATGTTTTGCGTGATCAATTTTGTTCGTTATTTATTTATAAAAATATAGAAGATTTTAAGTACAAACCATATAATTCAAAGTTTAAAACTTTGTGCACAATTCAGGAAACTTATAAACTTTATAAACTTATTGGGTATGCAGTTTTGTAGCCTATTCCATTTTACAAATTTTTAAACTTTGACTTATATAGTTTATACTTAGAATCTTCTATATTTTTATAAATAAATATAGTTGCAGTTGCAGTGAACAGACGTGCTTTTTTGAGCTCCGCCGATATCATACTGGTTTTCGGTTCTTTTATGATTTACAAGCACAAACTGGTCTTGTTTGAATACGTTTTGTCTCGCGCATCTTTATGTGATACTGTGTGTGCAATTCTGAATGCTGAGCATTAACAATAACGCTTAAGTTTGCCAGCTATTTACCTTAGCAGTTTGATGGTGAGTTATGTCTCCCCCTTCCTCTGCTACTCTTAAACGCCGACCAAGTAAAGGCTCTCCGCCCGCTAACAACAAAGCTGCAAAGTTGGATGAGAGTATAGTTCTAAACACAGTACTCTCAACACTGAAAGAATTAGAGGAGAAAGTGGAAAAACAAACGAACAAACTACAGTCTGTGTTTGAGGAGCTCTCATCCAGATTAACGGATATCGAGAGTAAACTCACAAAGCGGATCGACGAGGATATTGCTGGCATAGCTGAGAAAACTGTGGAGTCTGCCGCCAAAATAACGTCACTCGAGGCGAGCGTAAGAAATTTTGAGAGTAAGCTGGAATTGCTTACTAACCGGTTCGAGAGTCAACAAACGGCGATCTCTCCTGACTTCAGTGCTGACTGCGTTATTTTTGGCTTGCCGCAAACTGAGGGAGAAAACTTAAAAAGTGCATTCAACCAGATTTGCCTATAGATTGATTACTTGGTACTGAAGATCAAACCAAAATAATAGTGCTGCGGTTATAGTTAAATTTCACTCGCCGTTTGACCGTAACCGTACTCTTAAGGCGTTTAGTGATTATCGCAAGAGAACCAAGCAGCCAGTTTCACTTAGCGCAATCGGTATTGAGGGACGTCTTGGAATTTTTGAGGGTATATCCGCTAGTAACAGAAAACTTCTGCAAGAGGCGATTAAACTGAGGCGTGCAGGGAAACTGACGTCTGTCTTTACATTGCGAGGTGCTGTGCATGTGCGAGTGGATAAAGAACAGCCTGCAATAAAGATCGAAAATCAGACTGATTTGCAATGTTATTACGACAGCTTNGCGAGGTGCTGTGCATGTGCGAGTGGATAAAGAACAGCCTGCAATAAAGATCGAAAATCAGACTGATTTGCAATGTTATTACGACGGCTTATGTTAAATAATCATGTTTGAAGCATGCATATGTTATTGTTATGTTATCTTAGAAATTTATGTTATTTATTTAAATTATATATGTTAATGGTCTGTCTAGTTCCACTTCCCGATTTTCACTTCAACAATGTTTTGAAGTTGCTTTTATTTGGTCTCCTCTATGTAGTTTGTGTTTTATGTCTGCCAGGAAGGTTATGAGTGATGAAAACAGTCTAGCCATGTCAAATGTTCTCTGTAGTAGGCAGAAAGGCTTTAACATTGTTCACTTTAATGCACGTAGCCTTAATAGTACCAAAATTGATTTTGTTACACATGTTTTTGAATGTTCATCCGTTGATGTTGTGTGTGTTTCTGAAACATGGTTTCTAAAAGATGTAAGTGATGCATGCTACGGCTTAAAGAATTATAAGCTCATAAGAAATGACAGGCTAGGAAAAAGAGGTGGAGGTGTGGCCATTTATTGTAAAAATAGTATAAATTCTAAGGTTTTGTGTAAGTCAAGTGAAAATGGCCAAGAGTATATTTTCATTGAATTGTCTAGTGGCACTACTAAAATGTTGGTTTCATGTGTGTATAACCCACATAAATCCACTTGCCTCAAAGCATTTTTTGAAGTTTTGTCGTCTTTTGTTGTGGATTACGTCAATATTGTTGTATGTGGAGACTTTAATGTAAACCTGCTTTCCCGTGAATCACTCGGTTTCGTTGATGATGTATCTGGTGTTGGGCTATCTATTGTTAACACCACTCTACCCACTCGGTTTGAGTGTAATGCTCAACCTAGCCTTCTTGATTATTTTATTGTTTCTGATCCATCTTTAGTTTTAAAATTTGATAAATTTTCTTTCATTTCCGACCATGACCTTATATTCTGTGCTGTTGACATTGTTTTTTACTCTTCTAATATAGCAAAAAATTTCTTATTTAGGGATTACAAATCCTTGAAAACTGACTCGTTGTTTTTGCATCTGTCATATATTAACTGGTGCGATTGTTGGAATCTTGTGACCGTTAGTGACAAACTCAGTTTCCTCAATAAGAGTTTACTAAATGCCTTCAATTATTTTGTCCCGGTCCGTGAGTGTAAAACTAAAATGTCCTGCCCTTGGTTCAATCGTAAAGTTCAGTCAGCTATTAAAAATAAAAATAAACTGCATTTTATTTGGAAAAGGTATCCCACCCAAACTAACTGGGAAGCTTTTAAGCGTTCGCGGAATAACTCCATATTGGTTGTCAGGAAGGAAAAGCAAAAGTACTTTGCTTCGAAACTAGACCCTACTCTCCCTGCATCAGTTCTGTGGCGTAATATCAAAAATTTACGCATCCATGCTCGTAATACCTCTGAATGCAATCTAGATGTGGATGAACTAAATAAAGCCTTTCTCAAGTGTCCTTATTCTGGTGTTCCCTCAAGTACTTTTATACCCTTGACCTCCTCAAGATATACAGGTGCTTCTTTTGAATTTCTACCAGTCTCCGAACGTGATGTAATAAGGTGTGTTTTAAATATAAAGTCAGAAGCAATAGGAGAGGATGGTCTCCCCGTAAAATTCATTAAAATTGCACTGCCTTACATTGTTGGAACTCTTACGCATATAATTAACCATAGCATTACGAGTTCATGCTTTCCGAAAGAGTGGAGATGTGCCTCTGTACGACCGGTGGCGAAAAATCCTTTTGCACATACTCCAAGTGACTTCCGGCCTATTAGCATTTTGCCCTCGCTCTCTAAGGTTTTTGAAGCTTTGTTAGCAGAACAAATAAATGATCACGTCATTAAACACAACCTAATCTCCCCTCTGCAATCTGGATTTAGAGCAAGGCATAGCTGCTCAACAGCAATGCTAAAAATAATTGACGATATACGAATACCATTTGGCCAAAATCAATTAACATTACTTTGCCTACTTGACTTCTCGAAGGCGTTTGATTCTGTGAGCCATGATATACTGTGTACTAAGCTTAAAGAGTACTTCGGATTCGGGAAAAACTCCCTGACGCTTATTGAGACCTGGTAGATCTCAGCGTGTTAAAGTCGGTGAAAATATCTCAAGACTTGAGGCGATTTCCTCAGGTGTTCCACAAGGTTCAGTCTTAGGACCTCTTTTATTCAGTTTGTTCGTAAACGATATTTTCCTCATATGCCAATTTGTAAGCGTTTATGCCTATGCGGATTATATACAGTTATATTTATCGAGTAACTTTGAAAATGTAGGCATGTTAGTTCAAAAGTATAATCGTGACTTGTCTTCTATTGAGCGGTGGTCGAAGAAAAATGGTCTTCTCCTGAACTCTAAAAAATCGTATGTATTACCAATCGCAAAGCGGAAACTTAGTGACACTACTATACCCCATTTAGTTGTCGGTAGTAAACCACTGCAATTTGTAAGCAAAATTACTAATTTGGGCTTTGTCATTAACTCAAGTTTGACCTGCACA